AAATAAAGTGAGAAACTTTTACAAAAAAGAACGAGAACAGTTAAAGTCATGAACTTATACAACTTTTGAATAAAATATTTTCAAATATAAAAATAATATATAAATATTTTAAAATAAAGACATCACTAAAGATGAATTTAAATAATTTCAGCACTTATAAAAATAAAATCTTAGGTTAGTTAGAATACTTTGTATAGAACATTTCGAATACTAAAAAAACTTTTCAGGGCTCGGTATGAAATTATATTTTATTTTTTTAGTAATACTAAATTTATATAAACCTTGAGTGTTGTTTTTATCAAATATTAAAAGAAATTAAAATATTTTGCTTTTACTGCAAAAAATATTCAAAGCGAGGGTAACTTTGAATGATTTAGTAAATAAATATTATTCCTATTCATTTGATTTAAACATTATTTTAATGTTGTGTTTTTTAAGAGCCTGTCATAGCTCTTATATGCATAATAAAATAATTCAAATATTGTCAATAGTGAAAGAAGGGCATATAAAAATGTGTATTTTAAAATTTTATATGTTCCTTCTTCTATCTGATTATCAAACCTTTGTTTTTATTGATAGTTAATTTTTGTAATTAAAAAACGTGATTTTTCCCCTTTCATCAATTGCTGCTTTGCTGTCTTCATTAAGTTTTGAACAGCTGTAAATTTACATGTTACAACTAAGTTGTAAACTGAACTTTGCTATCTTCATTAAGTTTTAAACTGAACGTCGTTTTCTTGATTTCATTTTAAACTGAACTTTGCTGACTTCGTTACGTGTTGAAGTGCAGTGTTTGCTGTCATCATGAAGTTTTAAACTGAACCTTGATGTTTTTATAAAGTTATAAACTGAATTAAGCTGTCTTCATTTAGTTTTAAATTGAACTTGCTGTATTCATTAAGTTTTAAACTAAATTTTTTAATTTCTTGATTTCATTGTTTAGTTCTTATAATTTTGGCAGTTTTCTCAGATTCTTTGACAATTAAAAAAATTATTTTAATCAGCTGTTAATATTATTTTCTCTAATGAGCACTTTTGGTAGATCTCTTGTTCAAACGATTTGATGTATTATATACAATGAATTTCTTTTACTTTTTATATAAAGGTGTTTAATCGAGGAAAAAAAGTCAGCATGGTTTTTATCAAAACTTTTTCTTTGAAGCTCGAGTGTTTATGCGTAAAGTTCACAGTTCGGCTAAACTAAAGTCTTTCTTTAAAACCGCTTGTCATAACGTCCATTGCTCTTCTTTTTTTTTGAAAACTTATTAAAACATTATTTACTGAATTTTAATTTTCTGTTTTCGCAGTTTGGTACGCAACAACTCGAGCTGTAATGTCAAAAAAATGTCCAATATCTTCGACGTTTTTTTATTTGTTTACTTCTTTTTGCCACACATCATGGCGGATAGAAAATTTTGCGGACGTTTGGCGCTCAGATGAATATCGTGAATACGTACATCACTGTAATTTATAATTTACTTTTTTTAAAGAATATTAAGAAGGTTTATTAAAGGATAGTATATTGTTGAGCACAAAATCGTTCAAGTATTCATTTTCATTAAGTTTTGGCACAGCCGTAACTGTTATAAAAAAATATTTTCAAAAAATAGAAGTTTAATAAATAATTCATTCAACAAATTAGTCTAACAATAAATGAATAAAGTTTGTCTATAGTAAAAAAATAAACATACATTCTATTCCGCTAAAAAAACACGAGAGCCGAGAGCCGCTCGGTATTTGCAGCTCCGTCTTAGGGTCCACCAAAAGACAGCGGCTCCCCCGACTCCACGGCTACGACTCCGGCTTGGCTCCACAAGCCTGGTTTGACCACTTGTTTTACTGTTTCGAATTTCAATTAACCTCTACATAAATTTTAAATGGAGAAATTTTTTTGCCTGAGTTTGTGTAAAACTAAAGTTGATCCGATTTTCGGATCAATAAATAGTCCAAATAAATCTTGCTTAGGTGCATTTTTCTAATTAGCTCAATAACAAACTTTAAAAAAATTTTAAACACTGTAAATTCCTGATGGTTTTCCTTCAGGCTACAATGTATTAAAGAAAATTCGTAAAGTTAATCTAAAAAGTTAAATTTGTTTATTAACTTTCAATGCGCCACGGCTGCGCCACGGCTGCTCGAATATATATATATATATATATATATATATATATATATATATATATATATATATATATATATATATATATATATATATATATATATATATATATATATATATATATATATATATATATATATATATATATACATATGTCTCATTATTTTTCATTAACTTTAAAATTTTCAGTGATCAAAATAAATCAAATCAAATATGATTTTCTAAAAGAAAAGAAATCTAATATTTTATTTTTGTATGCTAAATTTCACTTTAATCATTTTTTGCTTGCTTTTGGCTGGCTTGTGGATGCTGGCATTTGAGCTTAAATAAGATCTCATATCAACTACAACATGCACTTCTCAGTGGGTAGTGAACGTTATAATGTTCACTACCCACTGATAGAACTCAATAGTTTTCAGAAAGTGAAGATTTTTACTACTTTTTTTTTTAGCTCTTTCAAAATTGGATGTAGTGCCAAACGTTATATTACTATTAATAACAGCAACTTCAGGCTAACCATAACCATGAAGTTAGCAGGTTAAAACAACTATATTTTATTAATATTTTATTTTGTAAAAAAATTGTACTTCTTTTACTTTTTTGAGTTAATTTGTATTTTTTTATTGTAATTTGTATTTTTTTAATTTTATTTAATTTTTATTTATATTTATGACATCATAGAATTGCATTACCCTGAAATTTATGCATTACCCTGAACAACGCTGGTTAAGTGAAATAGTGAAGGATGATATTGGCACAATGTTTAAACTTGGTGTTAAAGTCTGTTTTTTAAAAGAATATTTGAAAAATAAAGAAAGAAAAACTGTAACATTGAAAGATTTATTCAACATAAATAAAGAAATTGAACTAGAATGCAATTGTGAAAAATCAAATGAGGCTTTATTGATCGATGAACTGATGTCCTTCTGTAAGCCTTATGCTCTAACTTTTCTTTTTTAATTTTTGTGATTTACAGGATTTATGATTTAGAGTTAGTATATATAGAGAGGCAGTAAACGCCTGTTAGCTTTAACCTAAATGTATTCAGAGATTTAATCAGAGGTTTACTGTACTTTGAGTTAAATGGGTTATAATTCAACTATGGTTTAAATAATGCACTTTATTAATCAATTTATTTTATTTATATATATCTAAAAGTTTTAGCTAAAGTTTGATTTTGAATTTCAGGTGAAAAAGATCCTGATGCAGTTATATCTGTTCAAGTTGATTCAGACAGTGTTCTGCAGTTTCTTTTACTAGGAAGTGGAGATATGCAACAGGTGTTTGATATGTTTCCTGAAGTGCTAATGATTGACTGCACATATTGCACAAACAAATTAAGAATGCTTTTATTCACTCTATTAGTGGAGGATGGAAATGGAACAGGTCAAGTTATTGTTTATGCTTTTTTTGCACAAGAAACTGAAAACACTCTGCAAGATGTGTTTTCAGAAATTGAACTTATACTGAATCTTAACCAAGTAAAGGTTGTCATTCTTAATAAGGATCTGAACGAAATAGGTGCAGTTTCCAAGGTTATGCAGAAATCCAACTGTGTAGGTTTCATGTTTTGCAAGCACTTTATAGATTTTTAAATAAACAACCTTTAACCAGTATAGAAAAAGATAATCTAAAAAAATATTTCAATTGCTTGTGTATGCAAAATCAAAGAAATTGCTTAATACAAATTTGGGCCATCTTGCTACAGTTGCACCAGAAGTTGTAATGGCATACTACAACAAAAATTGGGGCTTGCCACACCAAGTTAAGTATTGGGCATACTATGAAACTATAAAGTATGTTAATCTTGGTAATACAACAAATAACAGGTCCAAGTCCCATAACCAAAAAATCAAAAACATTGTCTAGGAAAATGTCCTTAGCAGAGGCAGTAAAAGGTATCCTTTTGTTACATACTGGTAATTTTGAAAAAATTACTCATTGAGTTTAATCCATCTTTTAAAGAGCCATATAGATTAGGAATGATGAAGATATAGTTACAAATGATATTTTAAAAGTTCTAACTCCATATGCTGCTGGAATTTTAATTGTAGAATTAAAAAAGTCTTGCACTGATTTGTTAGTGTTAAATAAAGTATGTTCGTGTCCTTTGCAGGTTACTATGAAACTTCCTTGTCGGCATACGATGGCAGTGAAAATAGTAAATGGTGATGCTATTTTTAAAGCAGAAGATGCAGGAGAGCGATGGCATTTAAGCTATCAAAAAAGAAGTTGGCTTTGTCGGAAGACCAGAAGACCTTCATTTTTCAACTAATAAAACTGAAAAAAAGTCACTAAATATGCCATTTTCTAAAGATCATAAATTTAAAACTGTCATGAATCTATGTAAACCAATTTCGGATTATTTATCTCGGAGTGAACGAGTTTAAAGAAAAAATTGATTCCTTAAATTTTATTTATAAATTGTGGTTAGCTGGGAAAAAAGTTATAATTTCTGATGTGGAAGCGCAAGCATGCCTGAAATCTCTAATTAACCCAAAGTGTCTGCTTTGCCTGAAATATCAGATTTGCCTGAAATGTCAGACTTGCTAGAGATGTCCAATTCTCCAAACTTTTCTAAATCGTTGTTCTCTGCCTTACCATCTAGTCTGAATTTAAATGAACTACTTCAAAATCAAGGAATCTCCAAATCAATCTTCTCTAAATGACAGCGTGAACTTCAAAGGTCTTCCTAGGACTAAATCTGAATGCTGCACCGGCCAAGTCCCTCAAGATGTAGGAAATGTATAGATTAAAAAAACAAGGCTCAAAAGGAAGCAGGATTTGTATAATGATCCTTACCATCAATCGTGTTAGGGAATTTTAGGCCAAATTGCTAAGTATTGCATAGATCTTCAACTATTCTCAAATTCATCAAACTGCTCTGTCATAGATCTTCAACTATTCTCCATTAAGGACTCATTCGAAATGTTATCTGATTTGCACATAAATAAAGCACAAAAGCTTTTATCCATGCAGTTTCCAGATTACAAGGGTTACAAGACCCTATTCTTGGATCAAAACTTCATTTTAGAGTGCAATCTGGAAAGTTTGTTCAAATTTTACATAATGGTGCAATGCATTGGCTTACCATTTCAAATTTTTAAGTACCCATCTTAACTCAGTTGATGTTTTTGGATTCCTTATATTATGATTTAATTGTTAGTGGAAAGTTGCAAGTAGGACCAATCATTATGGTTAAAGAATCTTTTTTGAAATTACAGTTTAAAGATTTCCAAAAACAATCTGGTGGGCTTGGTTGTGGTCTTTTTGCAATTGCAGCGGCAACAAATTTACAATCATGATCCAAGCATAAAATGTTATAAGCAAGAACTTATGCGGGATCATTTGTTAAAATGCTTCAGTGACGGTTACTTAACGCCATTCCCCATAGAGACTAATAAACGAAAAAAGAAAAAGCAATCTAAACCAATTAATTTACCATTATATTGCATATGTCGTCTTCGTGATAATAAAGAAGAAAAAATGGTTAAATGCGACTATTGCAAGGAGTGGTTTCACGCTTCATGCCTTTCCAATCCAAAGAATATATTAGAGAATTCTGACAACTCTTTACATTGGCATTGTAATTCATGCAGCTAATTAAGGTATTTTATTTAAAGAGGGGGTGTTTATTAATTTTTTAAAATTTTGCCACCTATCTTTAGCGTATTAAGACCCCCACCCCCGTTTATTGACTTACATGTTAACAATAAAAAAGTTACATCTCAAAACTTTAAAAAAATTTAAAAATATATATTAATAACCGATAAAAAATAAAAACTTTTCCCATCCACCCTTTTCTTACGTCTGGCCACACCCCGTTTATAAAATCTGGAATAAAATCTTTTTATTTTCCTCCAAAACCCCTTGTATGAAATAAAAATAAATTATTTTTTTTACTTTACCTATCGATACCTTATATATTTTGCAATACCCATTGATTATTGTTCCTTTACGTTTGTTTACCCTAAGGTGCTTAGGGTTTAAGCATCTTATGGTAAATAAACGTAAAGGAACAATAATCGATAAATAAAATCGATATAAAAATATATAAGGTATCGATAGGTAAAGTAAAGAAAAAATACTTTTTATTTCCTTTTTTTACATCCATTTTAAAAGAATTTAAAATGGGTGTGCAAATTAAATTTTTATGTTTTAGTATGTCGAGATATCAAAGCTAATAAAGTCAGTACCATGGTATTATGTAAGTTTTACCAAGTTTCTCTTCCGTTTCAAGTTGGTGAATATAGTCTTATCCGAGGCGATGATGAAAATGATATTTTAAAAAAGTTTTGCCAAACAGAATATAATTATTACACATTTTTCTTGTGTTTTCTCTGCAGCTGCGCGTATTATACATTTCTTGAAATCTGAATGAGTTTATAAATAGATAATTTTTTTTAGAAATTTAAAAACTACTCTAGCCAAATGTTGATTTGCATTAGGGATGCCAAAATTGGATGTCTGCGTACCTTCCAACCATTACTACTTTATTTGTATAACTCATTCTATAAAAGTTATAGACTTATAAAATATAGAACCAGCAAGCGGTACCTATCGCCTTGACCCATGTAAAAAAAAAGGTATTACAAACTTAGAGTCAAAAAGCAATTAGTTGCACAGTATACACAGTATTTGCGATTATATAAAGATGGATCAAATACAAGTGGATAGAAATTAAAAGTTTAATATTAACTAAGTATAAAATGTTAAAGTGTACAACAGAAAATATAATCTATTTTAAACTCTCTATCTGGAGTTTACGGCGTAATATATACTATACATATATATCACGCCGTAACATTCATGACTATACTTGTCCAGACTTATCATTGCAGAGGATATATAAATACAATTAAAAAAATTCAGAATCGAACCGCAAAATTGGGTTAAGAAAATGATCACTTAATACACGAGAAACGTTTAACACGTTTTAATTCAAACTACCCTTAACTTTCACCATTCAAACTCGCCGTGTGCGTAGTGAACTTATACAATTAGTACAAAATAATTAATAGAATTGATTGAATCAATTTTGTAACGTCATAAATCGCACCAGTTTATTGAGGATCTAAGTAAAGTCTTAGAACAAGTCTTAGAACAAGCCGAATAATTTGAATTAGAAGCTGAAATTTTTTTAAACATCATAAAAGGCGTAACTTTTTTACAAATGCTATAGTAAAAAAACTGGAATTCTCTGTTAACTGCCACATTAGACTACTACCATCGCTATAAAAAAGTTTTAAAGGTGGACTTGGCTAGTACGATTTATTTAAGCAATTTGGCTTGCGCAGCTTTAATTGCAAATTTTGTAAGAAAAGAGGGGTCCTTGCCTGCCTTCTTCCGTCAGAATAATTAGGATGGGCTTTTTAAACAAATTTTATACCGTGAATTGTTGTTGTTGTTCTTAATTTAAATTAATTTGTAAATGTATACATGTAATATACATATAAATGCATATAATAGTTGTGCTAAAAGGCGTTTTTATTTTTATAAATGGTGTGTGATTAAGCTTATTTTCGTTATTTGCCCGACGGTCGTGCGAATAAGCTTATTTTCATTGTTTGCACGACGGTCGTGCGAATAGACTCGGCCGTAGAAATTTATCGACGGTAGTTTTGAAAAAAATTTTATAACATTGAAACAAATCATTTACGCCGATAAAAATTACGGCCGGTAGCATTTTACGCCGATAAAAAGTTTTACAACATTGATCACTGGTGAAAAAAAAAATATTTTTGCAGACAAAAAAAAAAAAAAAAATTTTCTAATACTTTTTTAACTTCAAGTTCGATGATTAAGGAGAACATTAAAAAGGCTTAAATGGTTTTTTTGATACTTTTTATTTCTTGAATATTTTCGCCATATCATAGCTCAGTTGACCACTGTGAGGCAGTAGCGTAGCGAAGAATCCACGGGGAGGGGGGGGGGCAGAATTATAATGGGCTCTAGCCAACTTTTTCAAAAAAGAATTTCCTAAAGTTGTCGTTCTAAAAAAAAAGTATACGTGTATAAAAACTTAGCAACATTAACAATTTTCATATAGGTAAAAACTAAAAACTCATTTTTCAATTATTTTTTTAGTTATATTCTTTAATCATAATCTTGGCTAGTACTTCAAATAATAAGCGACTTTTTATCTGTTTATATCTAAAAAATTAAAAAAATTTTAGAAGACTCATGAAGTTAATCAGTTCTATAAAAATCTTACCAAAAGGATTTGGGTATCTGTAAAATTTAACAATAAACATACACTTATTGGATGTATATATAGACCAAATAATGCTGATTTAATAAAAAATGTCACTGAATCTTTCAAATTAGCTCATAGCTTAATTAGGAAGCCCTACAATAACTGCATGATTTTTGGTAAATTTAATATTTCGAATTTAAATTGGTCTAATGATAATATTAAATATTTAAAGCCAATCAATTCTACCGAGATTTCTGGTATATTTATCAAAACAGCCTCTATATACAACATATCGCATTTTTACTTTCAGACATCCAATGGTTCTTCAAATAACATGTTGGACTGTAATTTATCTACAACAGTAATTCTATTTTAAACTTGTCTACTAATTCAATTCTAGGTAATAACACTAAGGGTCACTTTATTATCATTTGGAGAATTTTTCAATTTCATAACCGTTTAAAGAAAATGAATCTCAATTGTTTAGTGTAACAAAGGTGATTACAATATCAAAATTTATTGCATCATTTAACAAAGAGATGTGTTTCTTATAAAACCGCGGATCAAATGTTCACTTTATTAATTTGTAAAAACTATACTGTTTGCGAATATTTTATCTCCAAGAATAACAAAAGTATGATCATTGGGTTACTCCGCATATTTAAAATCTAATCCGAGCAAAAAAAAATTTGCTTGGTATATCAAAATGAAAAAAAAAATTAACTAAATGAAAAAATGATAAACTTAATATACCATAAAAAATAATATAATAAATGAAAGAATAATTAAAATAAAATGCAACAGTTTTTTTCGGCTAAAATTGTTCCGTAAAAGTTAAAATATTTGAAGCAAAAAGAGCACATGGAAAAATAAATAATATTGAAATCTCATAACAACCCAAAACTTGTTTACAAATATATTAAAAAAACAACTAAAAATTAAAGGTAGAGTTTGTTCTCCAAAGATAATTTAGGGATAATTATTGAAGCTTTACCGAATAAAGTTGAATTTCTGAACTTTCAATTGAAATCTATATTTACTCTTGAAAACTTTGAATATTTCCTTAAAATATTAAATAAAAATGATATTAAATCTAAATGCATTAATAATGACAAACATGGTTTTCCAATTTCAGGCATTATTAAGGAAGTTACTGATCTAAACTCCAATAAAAAAAAGTTACAAAAATCATTCATAAATCCTTAAACTCTGAAGTTGTACTCACTCTCTGGAAATTAGCGACAATTAGTTTGGTCTCTAAAAAAATAGAGAAATAAATTGCCTGCTGAAAACTTTTTACCTATTTCACTAACCTTGGCAAAAATTTTCTGAAAAAACCTTTGATGCCTGCAAAATTTTCCAAAAACTTGTAAAGAACAAAATCTTAAAGTATATTAACAATAAAAACATGGTCTTTTTTAATTATACGAAATAACACAAAATTATAACAACCGAGTTTAATTTCAATTTAAGTTCTATCATTGGAGTCAATTAAGTAGTTTGTTGTCAATTTTTATAAAAATTTTTTACACCTCATTCATGACACGCAAGCCACGTTTTGAGTTGTACTTAAATATATTAAGAAAATTTGAGTAGTAATTTTATTTTATTTTATTTTATTTTTACTTTTGCGAGGCTTTTCAAATAAGTTTTTATAAGTTTTATAACTTTGTTTATTTTTTTTTTCTGATTTAGATTTTAGATTTTTAATGTATATTTTATATTTTAATGATTTCTAGAGACCTTTCGTAATTTAAGGAGATGGATATCTTTGGCATTTAAAACTATTTCACTTGAAAGAAAATTAGAATCATACAGTTGGTAAAAGGTTTTAAAAAAGTTGTCATAGCTTATGATAATATCATCGTCCAAGTTTTCAATTGTTTTAGCCGATGACCTATAGCAACAGCTTATACATATTTTTAGAAATTTTAAAAATACTTGTTTTTAAAAGACAGTATTTTAACTTATCCAATGGAAAAAACACACAAATTTTAATTAATTGCATTGACCCAGATGACAACGTTTTTTGGCAGTTTTTTGAAAGAAAATTATTTTAACAGACGCGAGGTATTGAGCTTTCTTAATTCTTCTTTTTTATTTTTTTATTAAAATTGAATATCATTACAAAAACTTTCATAACCTGAAAGCATTACTGAATAGTTTAAAATGTAAATTTAGTGTAATCTGTTTAACAGTAATCGGGAGCCAAAGAAAGGATGAGTCAAATTCAAAAAACATCTTACAAAAAACGGACTTAGTGAAGGTGTATGTATTTCCATTTTTAAATTCATTACATTTTGAGAAATAAAAAACTTCAACATCAATAATGCTCAGCTATTATCAGTGGAAATTATCAAAAAGCAAAAAATATATCACGAACTTCTTCTCTCTAGAGACTACCTTATGGTAATCTTAATCTATTTGAAAATGTTTGAAGTATGTCACGGCTGTTTCACTTAACGTATGACGTCATGAGTTTATCAAAATATTTCCGCATAATTGAAAAAAAAAACTTTAAATTAATAGTATTTTATATATATATATATATAAACGCTTTTATCTTTAGATTAAAAAAATATAAAAGATCTTTCTTTTATATTTTTTCAATATGAAGTAAAAAATCAGTAAAAATATTGTTAAAATATTTTTACTGATTTGGAATCACTTTTCCGTTTTTGAAAAATGTATTGGGCTAACAAAGATTTGATAACCATGAATGGATAAGTGTTCCAAATTTTAACGATTTTATAATCTATTTTATCTGATTCCTTGATCATCCTTGTGGTTTTTGCACAAAAAGACCGTTTTTAATGCATTTATAGTTTTGAATTTATCATTTTTAATGTAATAATTTTGACGGTGACATAAGTTATTAAAATTTCTATCTTTTTTGCAAATGATAATAAAAGTTTTTTTTATGTAACTTCAGCTATGTTATCAAAATATGTTTTCAAAAACGTCATATTTTACAATACATGTTTGTTTTTTTATAAGCATAACGTTTATAAGCTTATGATTTGGCTCAGATTTGGAAAAAAAATAAGCATATGTAAGCATATTCCTGAGCCTCGATAAACCATTTAAAAATTCAAATTTTATTTATTTTATTATTTCATTTATTTCAAA